TATTCAAATTTGTGACGTGAAAACAGTGTCTTCATACCTTAATATCACATCTCGCTCGAGGTTGGTGACAGAAGACGTTTAAACCTAGTTTTTTTCGCAATTATCTATGGATGGGTCAGTTCCAATGTCAAATTTATTTAAAAACCGACCAGAACTTGAGATATTAATATAATCGAAGTTTTCCGTGTGGGAAGCAGGGATGAGTTAGCTACCGCGACAGTGGCTAGGGTGCTGTTTGACTGACAACTGGGTGAACTACATGCAAAAACACTGGTCCTAGTGCTAAAAAATAATGAAGGGCCAACAGGGGATTGACAAAATAAAATTACAATGTCTGTATCATGCTTGCGAACCATTTTTATAACTAAATTCTAATGATTTTTTTACTGATGCACCAGCAACCGTTGTCGAAATCGTACTTGATTATGGTATTCGACTTATAGAAGCAAAAAACAAGTGGATACTGTCTCCGATATGTTGCGTCTGTGAGGCAATATAATATTCAATCCCAAGAATGAGGCTCAATATAATAAACAACAAATCTGACGGAATTCAGAGTGCCACACGAGTTTGACCAATACCTTACAGCAAAATGGTCGACACGATATGAGCATGAGCAAAACCTATCATAGCACAGAATAAAGAAAATCATCGCATGCTTTTTCATACCTTCACACCATTCCAAGACACCTCACCGCTGTCTATCTCATATTCTCCGTACGCAAATGGATGGAACAGGAGAAAGAGCAGGTGCGATTGTGCACCCGATGATATGACCCAGCAATAAAATTGAAACCGTGCATTTATGGCGAATGAATACACGGTATACAGCGAAATGAACTAAATTGGGCACGAAGTGATCTCACACACACACACACACGAGTGAAATCTCTCTCTCGTTCTCCATTACACTGAAGACGCTTTGGTCCAAACGGAATTCATGTGCTTTGACCCGAAAACATTCAGGACAAGTGACCGATTAATTGTGCCGACCAACTGCTGGTCTGATTTACAAACAAACTGGGTGCGCATAAGCTATTTCTCGTAAATCGTAACACGATGAAAAACACAAACTACTCCCTTGGTATACGGTGCTGACCTGTGTGCACGGAATTGTCGTTCTTATCCGACTAAAACACTTCGCATACACTTAGTTATCACGCAATTCGAGATGGAAGAAAACACAGAGAGAGAAAAGAAAGTGGCGATTGACAAACGACACTAGATGTGTTATCAAGTGTGAAAAAATCGCAGAATTCCATTGAGAACGTGAGGGCTCGTATGAGAATAAACTGGGATAAGGTTTTAACCGAAGAACCAAAGTTCGTGATCGGTTTTATCAGCGGAAAGAAAAGACCAACAGGGGTGCGTAGCAAGACCTTTTTCATTTGTTTTTGTTAATGCATTACACTTCTAACAAGAGAGATTGCAGCTGTTGTTTCGTAACCTCCACTAATGAAAAACAACATGTTGTATTCGCCGCATCTGCATTTTCGCTTTCCACTTGATCATCACCCACACGCAACAGGCTCCCCTATCCTCGTCCCGTTGGCGTGCTCCCTGATTCTGGCCACCGCATGCATGTGCATTGTGTTCATTTGTCTGTACGCTCAACGAAAACAACGGGAATTATTCATGCGTTATGCGCCAACTATGGCACCGAACAACGACCCGTCCGGAGATCTGATGAACAAAAGTGTGATGAAAAATCAGAAACTACCACCAAGTGGACTTGAGGTGGAGACACGAACACGGCCGGACTATCGTGTCGTAAATCACGTACCCGCCCAAACTCAAGTTCCCGTTCCAATGTACACCTCCGCGGAGATGGGAAACAGCGTTGCACAATTGAGGAGCAACGGTCGAACAATTACAGCCCTGGTAGTCTGAAAAAAAATTCTACGCATGATCGCCACAGACGAATCGTATCGTGCACACTGTGATAATAATAAACACGTACAGACTGAGGAACGCCGGTCGAACGCGAAACGGATAAGAAGCCGTTTCGCCATCGGCATAAATCACTATTCACTCATTACTAGTACAAGCAATGATTATATTGAACTGATCTCACTCTGATGAACCGCATTTTGTACATGGATGCACCCAATACTTGTTTTTTCCATTTGTATATGTATTCTCATACCCATTTTAGAAGTGAATCGGATTATGTTGCTTTGACCACGTCACACTCTAGTGCGCAAGTGAATTCAGATCTGCCTGAGAAACCCACCGATTACATGTGCAGTTGTTTTCTTTCCGAGAATTATCAACCGTAAACCAAATCGAGAAACCCCCTCAAATTGCACATGATTATAGAATAGGACAGACCACGCGACCCACTGTGCTATCGACCTGTTGGAATATTTCGGAATAAAAACGAGTATCTCGAATGTTCACAGGATGATCAGGTTTGTGGGTTCAGTAAATTATTATAACGCGCATTACCAAGTTGATAAGTATGACTAGTTGTGTATTCTACGCGCAGAAACATAGCAGATTTCGGTTCCATCGGAGTCCAGATTGCATGACGATCAAAATATGGTGCATGAACAACCATCTCAGCCTCATTTCCCACTGGAGAGCTTTCGGCGTGGTCTCACACATCAGCTGGTAGAGAGAACGTCGTACAAAGGTGTATGTGGAGCCTATGCGTGGTTTTGAATCCTAACTGGGCTCGCGACCCTTTTCGTAATTAAAAAATAGTGCACTCACTCCTGTGACAATGGCTCTATGAGTTGTTCACGGACCCAATACTGCCAGGTTATTTAAACCATAATAGATGGTCCTCTTGGGGACTTAATCGCAAATCTCCACCATCCACAATCTGATAGCCATGTATGGATTTGGTGTGCAGACTACGGTTTTATTAGTTATTATTCATTCGGGGTCCCCCATCCTTGATAATCGAACACATGCTTAAGCTACAAAATACACTGTTACCCAGACAAGCAACCAACTATCATGCACCTCTTATATAGTGGCTAAAACATCAGAGATTGGTTTGTCACCTTTTCATCGTCCCGTTCCTGAAAAACCTATCTCAGTCTTCCAAGAAGTCAACTAATGCATGAAGCTTGCAAATGGTACCGCCCGAATGTTGATTTCAGATGTCGTAGACCTGGGAATAGGGTGATAATGAAGCCAGATTTTATACCTAGACTGTCGATTACCACAGAAAAACAACTGGCTCATTTGATAATATTGGTCATTGCACTAATTTGCTGCATACCAAATAAAACCAAGGGGAGGAGGAATTAAATTCATGTTTAAGAGAAATATCCCGGAAGCAACATAACCGTTAACGGTGTTCTAGGCCCTCTCACGTACCCAGCTCTACCGATCACAGAACAACTTCAGTACCATACTTGCTAATGGTGATTACGTGAATTTGTGTTAACCAAAAATATGTGCATTGTCATGGGGCTCGGGACATCTAGAACAGGAAATTAACAATAAATCGATGGGAACAACACCGATTTGGCCAGTGTCAGACCGCTTTTCGCTTGAACGAAGTGGGAGGGGGAATGTTCAAGACAGGAAAAGTGAGGGTTCAATCTGTCATTTATAAGAAACAGGTGGAAACATTTTTTATTACACAGGGTGCACTACTTTGGTGAAAACCCAACTAACCATAACCTGCGTAGAGCATTATGACAGAAAACAAAAATGAGATGAGTGGATCGATGGATTCACTCTAATGCGATCGAAATCCAAACAAAGAGACAATGGACAAAAATCACTGTCGGCAAATGTGCAATCTGTAGACTATCGATCTAACAGCAGAGACCGGTGTCTACGGACTGGCCCGGAGAAATGGCTCCAAATGCTCAATTAGACGAGGAACAGTGATATCGCAGTCTTGGGCAATAATCCATGGAACCTTCAGGAAGTGAGTTTGTCTGTAATGAGATCAAGCAAACGATAAAAATAGAAAGGAATAAGAAAAAAGAAACCCAATCAGGCTTACAAAATGAATTTTTCCAAGAAGCGTTACAAAACGCACTGAACTTTTGCTGCACATGATATTCACAACATCCATGAACCGGGAAGTCCTCAGCATGCAAAAACGCATGAAAACGTATAAAGTCAGATTAAAAGCAGAAACTACTCAACTGACTGAGAAGTTGTAAACCAAACTGCAACGCTAGGCCGAAATTCAGTTCAGTTCTAATCATTATCATCTTTTAACTTTCTCAGGGCAGTTTTGGTTGCTGACTTTTGACAGCGCATTTGGATGAAGGAGTCGAGGGCTGGACGCGGTGTCAGGGTAAGGATGCAAAAGTCAGTTCAAATGAACTGGCGTAGAAAGTGAGTGAGTGGAGGAGTATCACAGTAGATTTCTTCTTCGACCATCTTTCTCCGCCGCTGCAGAAGTTCATCCAGTCAAAAGATACGGAGTGGAGCAATTTACTGTCGGAAAGCCTCCGTTCAACGGATGTAGGAGCGGTTTCTGGACACCTGGCCTCACTTGACTATCTACTTGCGTCCTTAGAGATATCTCTTCAACAAACCAACATGGAGAAGACCGTGTCTTACACACGTTGGCCTCGGGTTGCTTACAAGGCTTATGCCTGTGCTAATTCTACTTTGATCACAGAAACGGACACACTTTAGTGTAGGATATCTCACTCATAGCCTGCCTCTACACACAATTCATTAGTGCGGTCTATACATGGTAGGTCGTATCTGGGTCCCACAACTAACACTTCTCATAGTTACTACTACGGAATCAACCAGACGTAATCAAAAGACCATCATCAGACTACCATTTAGCAATCAAGGTACTCCATACATTTCAACCGGACTGTGGGGACCCATTTGCGACGAATATACAGCAACTGCATGATTTGAGTGAACCGGAATATCACATACACACACTGGTTGCAAAGAGCACGTGCGCATTTGTAGGCACAAATAAAGAAAAATAGTACAAGTTATCTGGATTGATTATCCGTCATCGCATCTTCTGTGGCGGTAACGTGAAACTAGCAAGGAAACGTCGATCTTAGCTTCATTCTATTGTCGTTATACATTAGTTNATCCACCCACCTTCCTGCATTTCGGGGTCACTTTTATTCACGACCGCAACCAGGTGAAACCCATCACTTTATTTACAGTATCGGCCTTTTGGATATCTGTGTTTGGGTCACCATTATATTGACATGAAAACAACAGCTGACTTACAGCTTGATCACCTTTAGTCGGTTAATCTCGAGTTCACATGATCACAAGATGTATATCAGAGATGCCGGATGGTGTCTGATGATTATGAGTTGCGTGCTGAGTTCTGCTTACTTCCGGTGAAATGTGATTGCCAACTCATAGAATTGTTTCCCTTGGACGGCTATTTTCATACTTCACACCTGCCGTAACCCGAATGATTTGTCAGGGCACAACATTTCTGAGAACAAAACAAGCCTATAAAGTGTTCTTTGGCGGAATACGGTCAGGTTACTCAAGCCCAAGCAGATGAATTTTCATGAGGGGTTTACAGCTTACCAGAGACTGAACCATAAGATAGAGCGGCTGTGTATGAAAACTACAATCCAAGGGGAGCCGGTTCATTGAACCATAGGCTATTTTGGACGTATTCAAATAGCCAAGGTGCTCAACATACGGGGATATTCAAGCAAACCGGTGAACACTGTCAGAACCGAAATTGTGTCCGTGCTTCTTCGGTGGGTTGGAATCCGGATATTTTGCTAACTTCCCTAGGTTAAATGCTGGTGATTCGTTGACTGGAATGTTAACTTTTCGTCGCACCACTTTGACAAGAAAACACCCCCAACTAAGTGAAAACAGTGAGGAGAGATTCCATATCATAGGCCATTCGAGACTCCTGGTTGTGTAGCAGTATTTCACGAGGTGCCAGGAACGGGCAATTATTCCCTACCCAAGACATCCACCAGTGACCACAAGGGGTAAGCTATCGATCGCTGCTAAATCACCTAGTAGCAACGCGGTTCTCAGCCTTGGTCATTTGACCAAATAGAGTCCATGTTCGTTTCTGAGAGTTCATGACCGCCCATTATAAAATAAATCGGTCGATCAAATCGCACAAGCTGTGGGTGACGTTCTAATCAAGCGGTATATATAATATTATATTTCACACTTGTCTGAGGACAGAATGTGTGCCAGGCAAATCACGGTACAATAATCGTTATAAAAAGCGATGAACAAGGTAAGTTTCTCAAATTCTCAATAACTACTCACCCATTGAAAGTAGACAATGCAACAACACAAAAATGAGGAATCTTTTACTTTTACCACCCATTCAAGTTGGAGGAACAACTTGAAAATGTTCGCCTTGTTCTCGGGTCCTTTAAATCTGATTGAACCATTTCCCAGTAACACCGAGATATTGGCATTAAACGGATTTAAAAACACTTTCATACAATGATGACACTGAGTATATCTACGCATCCATTTGCGAAAATTGGCTAGTTAAATCGGAGGGGGAAGTGCCGATATTGATCAACATACTTGCCTCTAAAACTCAATAATGGCTTATATATCCACAACTCGGATCTGTCCAGTCAATACAACAGGAAATAGAATTTTAAGTCCCGAGCGAAGCAATCAAAACACGTCCTGCGTTTCAAGAGACGGAAAGACGAACAAGATTTCTCTTGGAAAAAATTCACTTACGTAAAAGACAAAACTTGATCCGGCGGAATGGTAAAAGTTGATTCGGATGTGTGAGAGTTGAAATAACGTAGCTGTCCAGTAGTGCGACTAACCAACTCTGTCCACGGTTCTGAAAAGAGCGGACAAGTAAAGCGGAAGAGCGATAGTGCTCACGAGGGAAAACATGAACGACAACAGTAGTATATCTGCACAACAACAGTAAACTGTCGAGCGGAGAGAAACAAAAGAACTGAATCAGGACGGGCGCGACAAATCCTCCAAGGATCAGTTCAATGTTGTTCTATCAGTCTACACCATCACTAACTTGAGATTAATTCTAAATGTGAACTGACGATGACGGTCCGGGCAGGGAAATAACGCTTGGTGGTTAAACTCTTCCGTGACTAGACCGTCCGATTCACCACAAAACCAAATCTTGTTTGGTTCATGGAAAAGCACCGATTCAGGAGCTCGACAAGTCACAGCGTTGATGACTCAGGTGCTCAAGAAACAGGAACATAATCTGTACAAATGAAAGTATAACTATAAACCTCCGGCGGTAGAACTAATATTTGACACGAGGCATTGATACGATGGTTCTAACTTCAGCTGATCCTCGGAACAGCCAACAACGCCAGAGAGAAAGTGAGAAAGAGAATGGGCAACGTATGTCTAAAATCTAGTATTAACGCAACCGCACATGTGACTAAGCATGCATACCCTCGTGCTGGTTGGACAGTTTAATTCACAATCTCTGATGGTCATCAAACAATATATAAGGTGGAACAACATCACCATAATGGTCTGTGACCTTCGCAGTCACCCAGTTCAATAATACACATATACCTTGTGTGCTCTGAGGTGATCCAAGTTTTAGGGCTCAACTTATCGATTAGCATAAAAGAACGTGAGGGTTTCCGTGACTATCGGGTTCTACCCTTCCACACTGAAATGAACAACTAATCGAAGTAGAAAAACACGGATACAAAGACTAGTGTGTATTCGCTGGATGTTCAAGAAGCCGTGCATATGATAGTGTTCCAAATACGGACCTCATGTGCAACACTAATAGCCCACAAGAAACCCTATCGATTGGAATAAATCAATATGAAAATGGTATGTTCGGAATCCAAATGCAACTAACAGCCTGACCCAATTCGCTGAAATATCTGAGTGATAATGGGAACGAAAGAACAAAGAGGGCGAAACTTACCGGCCAAATGCTCCACTAACAGGATCGAGTACGGCCGGAACAACACCCCTGCGGTGTAGAGATGCATCGGTACTAGACCAGATTCGTCTTTGCATGGAAGCTTTTGTAGTCTGCGCGGGTATAGCATGTTAGAAAAATGATATCAGAGAAAATAAATAAGCACTTGGGTCACAGTAGATCAATGAAAAACTATATCATGTAACACACTGGTATGGCTGGATTCGACATCATCATGATCAACCCTAGTCTGTCTATATATCTGAGCAAGTTTTTCTGTTTCACTTTACGTCTGGAAACCGGGACGGGACTACGGCTGAACTACACTCAGTCGTATAGGCTTGTCAGGAAGTGGAGACAACGGCTGATCAATGGTTTTAGAGCTAGCGACAAAAGATGTAGAAAGCGGGTATATATGAACAACATGGAGTAGAGAAGAAAAAACATGCACCATACTGGACTGAACTAACAATCATTTTGCGGGCTTTTACGGACCCCATATATGTTTTAGGATCGCCAGTAGGCTACACAAAAATGATAACACATTCTTTGAGACGCATTTTTCACGTGAAAGAAATTAAACGAATTCAGATTATCTCATTGCAAGTACAGACAAAAGGGTATCAAGTAATGTAAAGAAAACGTTTACTAAACGGAAGGTGCTAAGATATCATCGAAAATCCCCAATTTATCTGAGAGTGGGCAAAAAATCTCTCGTTCGAAAAATACGCTCATGGACTACCTCTCCTGAAGCATTTGCCGGGGAAGTCCTCCATACTGCCTCCGAATGGGGAGTGTTCTGATTAGAGAGACAGCGAAAAGCCGAAATTTGGAAATATAGTAATAAGCAGCTATCTCGTCCATGGGAGCTGAAAAACCCTGAGCTAAAACCGCCAAAGAGACGAAAGAAGAGGCTCCTGGACACCCTAGTCGCGGTGGTTACTGATCTGATTAGGTGATAGGGAGTAATAAGCTTGGGCATATGAACCGCGCCAGACGGATGTATGATATAACTGACTGGATTATGGCTCCTAATGGGCAGCAGTTTTCACACACCATCTCATTGTCTTGTAGGTCGGGTTTGGGTTATCCGAAGATTCCATTTGTGAATTCACAAGGTAATCACACACAAACCATGAACCGACTTTTTTCAAACAGATTTGTGTGCCATGATTTATTTGAGGATATAGTCTGGACCCAGACTATATCCTGGAGGAATATCATGAGCAATATGGCCTAAACATGTTCGGAACTCACTGCTTCACGAAGCCAGGCAGATCGCGAAGCGATAGCATCGGAGGAACACGTACGCAGGAACTTTGCATGTTTGGAAAATTGATCACTTCACACATACGTTGGGCCAAGCTCATCCTAGAATAACGAAGCACAAAATTGCACTATGTAAAACAGTGATTGATCAGATAACAATACTTCGCGTGTGAGGATTTGACACGTATGATCCATTCCATGATCGCAAAATTTTCTGAACTAACAATCTAGATTTATGGATTGGTTTAAATAGCCATTATCACAAAGGCAATTGTTTTCTTGTACATAAATCAAGGGTTGCACAAAATTGGATCTCGAACTTCATAAATCAGAGAAATTATATCAATTTTGGATAAAAAAGCAACCCAACATGCGCACAATTGATATTAATCATCAACAGGCTATCTACGCACATTATACAAGTTGAAGTGTTATAAGAAGAATACCATATGTGGAACTTTATATAATTACAATGGGCCAGATGAAAAATATCGTTGTGTAATCGCCAGAGTCATTTGAAATCAAAAGAACGACTACGGGGATGTCAAGGGTGAGTCGGAAGAAGAGTAGTAAGCATAAGAATGGTTGCATGACCCAAAATAAACAGTAGAAAGTTTAGGACGATTACGTGACATCAAACAGGGGAACAGTTTGTCTAGGTGAAGTTAAAAATAAGCTAGAACCGATATACGAAGTGTATACAACATAAAATTAGCAGAACAAATTACGTAATGTAGAAATAAATACCCCATCTACCGATAGGGTAAAAAAATGGGGAACAGTTTATAACACGGTTCATATTGTTGAAACATATCGAACTATTTAATATATGGAGATAGGCGACTGAGAGAAAGCGAAATCGATGACCAATACCCATCCTACACATACTGTGTTCCTGGTTTCATTCAAATGGATCCAAGGAAAAGTGCTTCCGATGTCGTTTTTAGTTCGATCGGTTCTTCTCATTCCTGGACGGCACAATATTACAGCAGGCCAGAAGGTACAAGACAGAATTTATGCGAGTACCACTCAAGCCTCATGGCGATGTGTATGTACGAACACCACTCAGCACAAAGATTTCTGATCCTCCAGTTAACATGTAATTTAGGCGCAGATGATTTTGTGACATTTCTCCAACCGACAAGCCCCAAACCAGATCGCTTGCCTTGCGCGAATATGGATG